TTTGTTAAAATTAACACCTGGACGGTGCAAGTTTCACGTTTATAGTCCCCATAGGTTTCAGAGTAAAATATAGATTATTCATTAATAATTGAATTAAAATGAATAATAAATAAATACATACAATTAGATACTTTCATGAAAAATTTTAATACAGTTCACTATATTATGTTATTGCAACACATTGTATTACGATTGTTTCATTAAGCATATATATATATAAATATAAAATAATATACATAAATACAACTCAAAGTATTCATGCATATTCATGCATTGTGTTTTGCTCAAGCTATTGGCCAGAAGATAATGATGAGAGGAAAAACAGCCTTGGGCTGATCACCGCCCCTGTCATTTCACAAAATAAGACTCGCTATAGTTTGGTCATGCTGACCTCTTAATTCTGTTATTCTATTAGAGATGGGGGGTAAAATTGAATTTGTGTGTGTATGTGTGTGTGTTTATGGAGCAGTGTGAGGGTTGTTCAGGTTAAATGGTGCTAAGCACTTTCCCTTATCACCCCGCTTTAGAAGATTCACCTCTGACCTTTCTGAGAGGTCTTCTTCAGTCTGAGCCCTAGGGCAACAAACCCTTCGACATCAGCAAGCCAAATAGACACAATCAGCACACATCACTTCTCTGACTGCCCTCGAGCGACACACGCAGAGGGATCCTTTCCTTTCCTTTCCTTTCCTTTCCTTTCCAAACCGTTTATTTTATAACAAAATATGTGTTAAATTTTGCTAGGAAAAGCTGAGCAGAGTTTGTGCACGAAGTCAACATCTGTAGCCTTTCTTTTCAGAACTGAAACGAAATGAAACGAACCAAACCAAACCAAATAACACTGGATTCATCTGTTTAAAGATGAACATAACGGAGGAAAATTTGAAGATAAATGAACAAATGATATGAAATGTCAGATGTCAAATAACTGTTACAGTGTGAAAAAGAAAAAATGAAAGATGAAAGCCATGCATTGGTGTTGACAGGCTAAGAGGAAACTAATGCTTCTGCACACATATAGTGGCCATCATCCAACAACCATGTGGCACTAATGGAAACTGTATGGTGAATGCAGTGTAGGCAAGAAGATTGGTTAGCACAATTGTCATACTTTGCATCCTAATTTGGTTATCTTACTTTTTGTTCAACTAGACATATTAAACAAATAAAATGTAAAATTGTTAATTGTTAATTTAGGACTATTTTTTTCTTTTTTATTATGTTGGAAGTATGTAATTAAATGCAAACCATCCACAAGACAATACGAGGGAAGCAAAAACAGAAAAAAAAAGAAAAAGAAAACGTTTTTAAACAAATTCACTAGGTCTTTGTTACCATGTGAATTTTTAAACTTTTTTCTATATCAATTCTTTATTTTAGTGAACTATTTTCCGCTCTGGTTTACTGGGGAAAAGCTGAGCGGCAGAGGTTGTGCATAAATTCAGCTTCTGTAGCCTGCCATTCACCCCATGCTCAGGTCAAAGTTCAGAGGTGAGTGACAGGACAAGAGGACCATGTCAGGGCCGTGTTTATTTAACTCTTCAGCCAATGACAGGGTAAAAAAAGACTAACACATTAATGACAGTGATACACATACAGATGCAAATTAGCCATTTGAATAAAGACCATGTCAGGGCCGTGTTTATTTAACTCTTCAGCCAATGACAGGGTAAAAAAAGACTAACACATTAATGACAGTGACACACATACAGATGCAAATTAGCCATTTGAATAAAGGATAGATAGACAGACAGACAGACAGACAGACAGACAGATAGACAGACATATAGATAGATAGATAGATAGATAATTTTTTAATTATTGTTCATCTTATTTCTTTTATAATTTTGCCTGAACTAATTTAACTTCATTCTAATTCTCTTAAGTGTATAATTTCATATGTATTATGTAAAATGTGACACTTTTTGATCCACACATTTAGCCTACTAACAGCTATGTGGCATCTAATATCATGAACACACTGTACTGAGCATGACGACATTTAACATGCATATTTTTAGTTTGTCTCTAGGGCATAGGTGCAGTGCAAACAGAAGTAATGCTGTTTTGAAGGCAAATTAAAATGAATTAGTATATAAATGAAGACATGGTGCAGGCATCAGCAACTCCCAACCATCTCAGACAGATTGTATTGTGTTACAAGCACTAAAAGATTCACCCTCAGTGTCTTTTATATGCATTTTATAGTGGCTTTTTTTCATTCATCTGTGTTGGTGGGCTTTAACGTCTGCCGTTTGTGATGAATACTGAGGCGTATGTGTGCATCTGTATTGTAGCAACTAACTGCTTTTGCACTGTAGATAATTCTTCCCCCCGGTATGTTTGTCTCATAGACATGCAGGCCCATGTGGGAATGTGAGCGGGTTGGGAGGGAGCGAGTGCGCGCTCACTGAGACCTTATTACCTCTTCCTGCGTGGAGTATGTTGTGTCTCGAGTGATTGGTGATCACATTTGTAATGGCACACTGCTGCACAACGCCATTATGCCCTTTGTCATCTTACTGAGCCACTGACAGCCAACCGGCTCTCGGAGACAAGAGGTATAAATGACAAACACACACACACACACGACCACGTATGTGTGATGATTCTGAGACTACAGGTGTGCGTTTAGAGCTTTTAAGTGAACATTAAACTCTAACTCCTAGTTCCCTAAGATGTGTGGCGTATTGATTTCTTGTTGTGCAAAGAACCATTCAAGCCCAATTTAAGATTTCTATCCTGCACGTAGCCGGGAGCACACCAAGGCCCCGTAAATTAGGGAAAATCGCACATTCATCACACGCATTATTTTAAGATACTTTGGGAACGTGACAGCTTGAAGATCTATGGTGGTGCATTACAAAACGCAACGACGCCTCCCGTTCTATCTCTCCATTCCTCCTTGGGGTAATGTTGGGGTCATTGGGACACGCCCATGATTTAAAGGAGTTTTTTTTTTCTGCTAATATCCGCTTTTTTCTCATCCATATGTGTGTGTGTAGATTGTCCATGCATCAGCGTGTGATTGAGAATTTATAAGGTGCTCTAAATTAGCATTTGTAATGGGAGCGCTTCCAAGGTGAGACTGCAGATGGTGAGTGAATTACAGTGCATGTCAATTACACAGGTTAAGAGAGACAGCTCGCCTCAAAGGGTCCGCAGACAAAGTGAAGCCTTGGGTCAGCACAGCAGTGAATCAATCAGGACTGATTGTTGAGGAGCGGATGCGCGTCGCCTGCATCATTGCAATTTGCTATGGCGGGACATGCCAGTGCCCGCTTATTGTAAAGGCCTACTGAAAACGCTCTGCGTGTGTTTGTTTGTGATAGCGCAAACACAGATACATTTCCGTCGCCGTCGTCGGCGTGCGTAATCCGCAATTTCGTTTATCTGAAAAGTCCAGCAATACATAAAGTCCCTCAGTAGCTCAATAGCATTACAACACAGCATTCATTTGTGTTGTGGAGAGGGCTGCTTCGAGAGTTTCACTGAGCTTTAGACACTCTGGTCTTTTGTAACAGCGCAACGGAGATAAAGCCTCCAATGTGCGGTTCGCTCCCGCACACGTAAACCTCTCATTCTGAGCAGATTATGTGTACAGACCAATTACGCTCCTCACATCCTGGGAAATATACTCATTGTTGGGGTATTTAGACACAAAGCAATTATGTAGGCCTTTTCTACACAAACATACCTTTGACTGTGCATGTGTGCACCTGTTTACAATTTGTTTACTCCCCGTCGTGAAGTGGGTCAAATCTTAACGCAACACCAAAACGGCACACACAGTGTCCTGTACGCAGCTCGAGTAGCTTTAAAAATGTGCCATTAGCATCGGGGAGGAGTGGGATATTGTTTATTTGCATGTGTGGGAGTGTGCAGGCATTTCTTGATAGTTAATTGTCTCCATGTATAGTTGTTTTCAACCTTAATAACCCCTAGTTTTGTGGCTTAGCAGGCTGGGAGAGAGGCGAGAACATGGCTTTCTTACACTTCAATTTTACGCACATTTTCTTTGCGACTAATGAGCACCTTAAATATGGCGCCAGACTTCAGGGAAGCCTGTGAAGGCTGACATTTTCACACACAGCAGCACCTTGTCACCACACATGATGTCCCCTCTACCTGGCTCCTGACGTCTTTGAATGTGTGTGTGCGCGCATGCTGAATGCTCTCTGACAGATCTGACGAGGAACATATTCGGTAACTAAACAGTAAACCATTTTTGAGAAAGTGTCCCACCATTATGAGATATATCTTATACGTGCCCCTACTTCCACTGATCCGTTCACAAAGGTTCTCTCTCTCTCTCTCTTTCTCCCTCACATACACAAACACCAAGCTGGGAATCGGCATATACAGTATGTCATTTACATTTTCTTTGAGTGCAGTCTATGCCAAAGCTTAATTTTGTAGTCATACTCTAAATGCGATTCTGTTGTCATCCTGAATGAGGCCCAAACAAATTTGTCCCTGCAAAATGGGAACCTGAGCTAATTACAACAGTGAAAATGGTGAAAAAGAGACCGTTAATGCCAGAGCAATTATCTGTTACATTCCTTTGTAGAGAGGGAAAGGCGCATCGCTCTTCACGCCGCCTGATGCTTCCCTAGTTAAACCATATTAGGAGACGTTGTGAGTCGATGTGTCACCAGGCAGGGAATTAGATGAGAGGAGTGATGGGATAGATCTGCCAAAAATATATGACACCACTAAAGTCTGCCGCATAAGAGATAAACACTTAATATTTGTGAGACCAGTAGCAGAGGTTTATGCTTGTGCACACACACACACTCACACACAAGCCACCTGGCGGATTTTAATATGCTCATACCTGTCAGAGGTCCGGTGGTCTACCCCTACTGCCACACAAATGTCTTTTCACACACTTGTCGACTGCTATTTAACTGACAGCAGTTCTCTTTAATCTGCTCATTTCTTATCCCCTGGCGCCCGACAGAATTGTGAGCCACGACACATCAAGTTATTGCAAAAAACCAAAACAATTTCAATTTAATGCTGCAGTAGAAAAAAGGTTATATGAAGTCATATAATGAGTGCTTCATTGTCAACAACAACAAAAAAAGAAACACGGCACAGAATGCATAACAGTGCCTGTGCTGTTAACATGCCAATATTTTACACATAAGATTTCCATTCACTGGCAGCTGTCAGTTAGTTCAGTAAATTAACTGCCAAAACGTAGCAGAACTGTCAATTGGAGGTAAGGTAACCATGGTTACCTTTCATATCCCCAAAAATGATGAAGCTGCAGTGTGGCTTTATGGAGGAATAATTAGACAGAACAACAAAATAAAAGATACCAATCAAAAAGGCATTCTACAATATGAAACAACAACCAAGAGTGTTTATAAATAAAAGGTTACATTGTGGAATTCCTCCTTACATTATAAAGTAGCATCTTTTTATACAACCATTTAAGTGAAATGATGGAACAAGTAATGTCTTGTACAAGAAGTTTTAACCCTTTGAGCACGAGTTGGAAATAAAACTTTAGGGTGATTTTTTTCTTCTTCTCATGTTCATATCTTCTTATTAAATAACATATTTATAAAACTATTGTGCAAAACAATTTCATTAATGTCTTCATATATTGTGCACCAGTAGATAGTCATACTCATCGTAAATTAAAAAATATAAAATGATGCATAATTTAGACAGAAATTAGTTTATGTTTTTATGTACACATTTTTACACTGACCTGAATTCATAAAGGCCCCTGATTTGAGCAAACTAAAAAACTGCTATTTTGGATTCGCATATATTTCTGCACTGCAATCTGTGTAAGAGGTGATCTATCAGACAAGGTGATTTTTAGTGGATAGTCAAAATACCCTTGAATTTACCCACTCAAATACATATCAACTCAGTGATTTCCAATCTCTTAATTTCTCTCTTTTTTATACATATATTTTTGTTTACTTTTGGGGGGTTGTAAATATAAGTATTTAGGCGTACTCAGAGGGTTAAATGTTTCTGCTGACACCAGCATACTTAGGTCACATAAAAAAAAAAAAGAAAAGAGGAAAAAAATACAATAAAAATAAGAGAGAAGTAAAGCGAGAGATAAAGAAAAGGCCAGATTTAGTTATCAAATATTGAACTAAACCATTTAATTAATGCATGCAGCTTACTGCATCTCAAGGATGCCAAAAAAATTCAATTTACACAACTTTCAAATACATACAACTTCATTTTAAGTCTTTTTATTTACCTTCATATTTTACCAGTGACCTCTTCACTCAGCACTGCACAGTTAGAAAATCATTTGTCATAATTTTCTCTGTTTTCCATTGTGAACTAAAAATGCAGAAAATGAATGTCTCTAGGGCCAAATGAGTGTTCCCCAGATGAAAAGTCTAAATGATGTGCCAAAACTAAACAGTAGTTTTCTGGCATCTATGTGCAGTTAGTTCTTCGTTAATTACTTTCAGTTCTTTTAATATATATTTTTTTTTCCTTAAGAAATGTGAGTCAGAAGGCTTGAAAAAAGGACAGGAATTAAAGAGATGAGAGACAGTTTTTGTCCTTGGCCATCGCTAAGGTTTCTCAAGTTCACTAACATACATAAGATGGTCCTCAGGGGATTTACCATGGGTCTTACTCAGATGGAGCTTGACAGCGTGCTTGCTGGCAAAAGTCCGGTTACACAGTTTACACTGATATGAGGTGCCATTTGCCTCCTCATCTGGGGAAGGGGAGGGGGAAAGTGAGTGAGGGCTGGGGTTGGGGATTGAATGGGCCAAAGAATGCGCTTGGGTTGAAAGCAGTTTCTCAGAAAGCCCCTTGCTATGGCGTGAAATCTGGCTAACGAGATGCTCTCCAGACAACTTGGCCAGGTCCCTGAGCCGGAAGCCCAGATGTGACTCAAGATGGCTGACATAGGTAGAGGGGGAACGGATCTGTGATGCACAGTCACTGCAGAAGAAGACAGGGTGGCCAGTGTCTAGATTTTTCAAGAACTTTGTGCCACCTGTCCGCCTCAGCTGGTATTTGACGTTGGCCAGCCAGTGGCTGATGGTGGTCATTGAGAGGCCAGTGAAGCGGGAAATATGCATGCGCTCCTGTGGACTGAGGTCCGACATAATGTACTTGCCGTCACCCGTTTGCCGCAAACTGGAGGCAAACTGTGCCTGCAAGATAAGTAGATGCTGAGGATTCCAGTTGGACTGCCGGCCCTTTCGTTTCTGTGCGGGAGATATCTCCTCTGCTTCCTCCGGCGTCGATCCGTCTATATCTGAGCGCTCTGAAAGACTCGTTGGTGTGGAGGACTTGGATGCATGGCTCTCTGTGAGGTTGCGTAGCATATCAGAGATGTCGGACAGGGCATTTTCTCGCAGAGGCGAGTTGGACATGAAGGAAGCCACAGCAGATGAGGCTTTTGCCATGGTGATGGTCGATGATGGTGAAATTGAGGTGGGAGTGGAGGTGGAGGAGGACAGGGCTGCAGATCCCAGGGAGTTGCTCTTATCGCTCTTGCCTTTGGTCAGATCAATAGGCTGGTCATTGTTGATGTGGTAGAAGTAGCGGTCTAGATGCTCGTTGGTTTTTTTGGTCTGAGATGGAGTGGAGGCAGCTACAGCTGCCTTCTCTGCCAGGCTGTTGCTCATCTTGAAGAGCATGCTCATGGGGTCAAGGGACGGAAGGGCAGGTTTGGCAGCTTTTCCTAGGTGAACATTCATGACAGACTGAAGCGCACTTAAAGGGTTGACAAATGGCTGCTCTGGAGGATGGTCGGTTATAATAGCAGTGCTGCTGCATAAGGTAGACATAGGGGCTTTGACAACATGGTCAGTACCATTCTCCAGAGACTCTTTTGTAAGAGCATCTCCATTTGAGTCTTTGTGAGTGTTTCCGCCTCCATTAGTCTCAGGGGTTTTAGCTCCTCTCCTTTCCTTGGGGGAATCCCCCCTGGCAGATTCCCCTGCATCGCTACTGCAAGGGGAGGGTGTGGTCCGTCTAAGTGGGGAAGATCTAGCTCCAGGATCCCTCATCTTCTCCTCTACTTTAGCCACTTTTTCTGTGACTTTTTTGACTAGCTCCTCCATGGCATGGAAGTTGTTTTTGGGCAAAGGGGATGTTTGGCAACTAGGTGGAGAAATTAGAGGTTGGATTTTGGTAGGAGATAGGATCTCTTCTCCAGAAAACATATACTTCAGAGGGGAACTTTTCCCTGAGTTGCGCAGGGACAGTTTCATAATGTTTGGAAGCTGGTAGGCAGCGTGAATACTGGGGTAGCCTCCCCAGCTGGGTGTGCCATTCTGTGCTTTGTTGATGGCAGATGTTACTGTATTCTCGAGAGACTTCAGAATGTCAAACCCCCCCTTAGGGCTTTCTTCAAGATCTTCCTCTGTCAAATATGGATGTTTGGATGAGACTTCAAACTTCTCGTCGGTCTCACTGTCTGTTGCCTTCTTGTCTTTGCTATTATTTGTCTCCTTGGTACACTCCACTTCCTTCTCCTCCTTTTTAATCTCCATGGGTGTGATGGCAGGAGAGATACTAGGGGGAGGAGGTGCAGGTGGTGGTGGGGAAAATGCGGTGGCAGCCAGTGGCACTGACTGTACCTTGTCTTCATTAGTAGGTATGGTGTTAGGAGCCATTGTGGACATCGACTCCATGATAGGTTTGCCTTTCTTTATGGCAGAGTTAGTGACCTTGATGAAGTGTCCTGTGACCATCATATGGGCCGTCAGCTCCTGCAGTGTGTCATGCGAGCTTCCACACTCCATGCACTTCAGGATCTGGGATTTCCGTGACTCAAACTGCCACGCATAACTAGCACCATTCTGGTGTCCATACCGATTGTTGGGTGTGATGTAGGGATTGGGGGTCTTTTGAAGAAGGTCGTTGGGGTCAGACAGAGAAGGCTTGGGGGTGCCACCATTGGAATCTGGTGAGCTGGGTAGTTCTAGCTCAATGGGGGCTCTTTTACGAGCGGAGGAGATAATCTTGGCTGCCACAGGAGTTACTGGTTCCTTCAGAGGCACTTTCTGGTAGTGTTTCGTCTTGATCATGTGAACACTAAGGTCCTGCAGTGACTCAAAGGAATGACCACAGTACATGCACTTAAGAACTTTCTGGGCATCCTCTTTTCCTTCCATCTCCAGCAGGGAACGCTTGCGAGGCTTTGACCAGCGCTTGGTACCTTCACTGTCTGTCTCATGGTTATCATCTCGGTAGTGGCCTGTCTCATTCATGTGCACAGTGAGCTCGACCAGAGTGTCATACGCGGCACTGCAGTCTTTGCAGCGGAATTTGCTTGCACCAGTGAAGATGGAACCATAGAGTTTGGTGCTCTGCCGATAAAGCTGCACAGTACTGAAGAGGTTTGGCTCAGATGCTGGGTGCAGCAGTCTACTCTGGTTTTGTGAAACATTATGCAACGTCTTAGCCACTGCTGTCTGGTGCCAGTCGTAACCGCCATTACCACAGCTACTGCTGCTGCTACTACTGCTGCTGCTACTACTGTGACTACGTGGGGGCTTTTCTGCTGTTTGCCGAGACATATTCAAGTTCAGCGATGACCAGTAGGAGTTGGTCAGGAAGCTAGTGTAGATAGCTTTCATCTGCTCCAGGCTGTCTGGGCCTAATTGTGTCGCCTCCTCACTGCTTGGCGTGGCTGTTGTCATCATCATCACTGATGAAGTTGAAGAAAGAGATGTGAGGGGCTCCTTGGCTGAACTATCTTCTTCGTTCTTCACTGAGGCACTCTCAAAGTCTGACATGCGGTCACTGGACTCACTCAGGTGTGACTCGCTGTCCATTTCATGGCTGGAGATATCCGCCGGTGGAGAGTCATGGAAGCCTTGCCTGTCTTTAAGGAGTAAGTCCTTGTCCTGGCACACATACTTCATGGCAGGTTCCTCCTCCCCAGCTGAATCCTCTCCTTCAACATCCTCATCTAGTAAGGCAGCCTCCTTTAGCTCGTCTGGCACATATGCTGCAGGTAGAAAAGAGATAAAAGAAACAGAAAGAAAAAAAAAAACATGTTATCACATTGTCCAATGATGAAGATTTGACACATTGCATTTCTACAATGTCTTGTATGCTGGATAGACAGCTGATAGAAATGTCAGGCATCAGTGTGCTTTCTCCAGCAGTGAAAAACAAAACAATCAGTCAGACTTTTTTATATTATAAAGTGTTGCAGTAATTCCTTCTCTGCTTTACAATTGCATTACATTGCCACATGGAATGAAGTTATGTTTCTCTCTTTTGTTCTGAAAAGAGAGTGTGGCAGTGGGTGGGGGGGTGGTAAAAGAACGGAAAAATTGTGGACATCGACTCCATGATAGGTTTGCCTTTCTTGATGGCAGAATTAGTAACCTTGATGAAGTGTCCTGTGACCATCATATGGGCCGTCAGCTCCTGCAGTGTGTCATGCGAGCTTCCACACTCCATGCACTTCAGGATCTGGGATTTCCGTGACTCAAACTGCCACGCATAACTAGCACCATTCTGGTGTCCATACCGATTGTTGGGTGTGATGTAGGGATTGGGGGTCTTTTGAAGAAGGTCGTTGGGGTCAGACAGAGAAGGCTTGGGGGTGCCACCATTGGAATCTGGTGAGCTGGGTAGTTCTAGCTCAATGGGGGCTCTTTTACGAGCGGAGGAGATAATCTTGGCTGCCACAGGAGTTACTGGTTCCTTCAGAGGCACTTTCTGGTAGTGTTTCGTCTTGATCATGTGAACACTAAGGTCCTGCAGTGACTCAAAGGAATGACCACAGTACATGCACTTAAGAACTTTCTGGGCATCCTCTTTTCCTTCCATCTCCAGCAGGGAACGCTTGCGAGGCTTTGACCAGCGCTTGGTACCTTCACTGTCTGTCTCATGGTTATCATCTCGGTAGTGGCCTGTCTCATTCATGTGCACAGTGAGCTCGACCAGAGTGTCATACGCGGCACTGCAGTCTTTGCAGCGGAATTTGCTTGCACCAGTGAAGATGGAACCATAGAGTTTGGTGCTCTGCCGATAAAGCTGCACAGTACTGAAGAGGTTTGGCTCAGATGCTGGGTGCAGCAGTCTACTCTGGTTTTGTGAAACATTATGCAACGTCTTAGCCACTGCTGTCTGGTGCCAGTCGTAACCGCCATTACCACAGCTACTGCTGCTGCTACTACTGCTGCTGCTACTACTGTGACTACGTGGGGGCTTTTCTGCTGTTTGCCGAGACATATTCAAGTTCAGCGATGACCAGTAGGAGTTGGTCAGGAAGCTAGTGTAGATAGCTTTCATCTGCTCCAGGCTGTCTGGGCCTAATTGTGTCGCCTCCTCACTGCTTGGCGTGGCTGTTGTCATCATCATCACTGATGAAGTTGAAGAAAGAGATGTGAGGGGCTCCTTGGCTGAACTATCTTCTTCGTTCTTCACTGAGGCACTCTCAAAGTCTGACATGCGGTCACTGGACTCACTCAGGTGTGACTCGCTGTCCATCTCATGGCTGGAGAAATCCGCCGGTGGAGAGTCCTTGTCCTGGCACACATACTTCATGGCAGGTTCCTCCTCCCCAGCTGAATCCTCTCCTTCAACATCCTCATCTAGTAAGGCAGCCTCCTTTAGCTCGTCTGGCACATATGCTGCAGGTAGAAAAGAGATAAAAGAAACAGAAAGAAAAAAAAAAACATGTTATCACATTGTCCAATGATGAAGATTTGACACATTGCATTTCTACAATGTCTTGTATGCTGGATAGACAGCTGATAGAAATGTCAGGCATCAGTGTGCTTTCTCCAGCAGTGAAAAACAAAACAATCAGTCAGACTTTTTTATATTATAAAGTGTTAAACGCTCATGAAAAACATGGTTATGTTTGTGCAAGCCTGAAGAAATAAGCAACAAAATATATTATTTTTAACTTCCAGTGGAAGTCATGCAAAAAGAGAAAGAGACACAGAGAGAAATGTAATGCATTTAAATAATTCCGTGCATTCCTGACTGTGTCAGTTAATCACGCTTTTGACCAGGTATGTAAACAATGGAGAGAGAGGACACTCCATTGGACACACTGGTTTTCTGTGAACACATTCTATCACGTCTAAATACCACAAATGTCAAACTACTCATGCTACAACTTCAACACACAGCATATACATTTAATTCTAAATATAATATGTCAGTTTGTATAGAAGGAACATTCCACGATGTCCTCAACAAAGACTACATAGAATTTGAATTTTCTGAATTTACATCAGCCCCTCATTTTTTTAGAGAAAATATTTCATTTAAGTTTAACAAAACAACACTGCTGTGATACAGATATGATGGCTATGAAACAACAACAACCAAAAAGTAAAAAGAATGCCATCAACACGAGGACAGTCATTTTGTAGCCCTTGGCAGAATGATGCCAAGGGATTGGTAGAGGCACAGACCCCTTTTTAGTGTGCAGTTGTAATGTGCATACCTCACGACTTCAGGCATTCTGTGCTGTTTCATTAAACTCCATATAATTCCATAATTTTTTGTAATGTAGTCAAATTATTACTTAGGCCTATAATTAATTTACTAAATGATTATCAGTTTTGTCTGTATTATTATCATCATTATTTATTAACATAATGCATATACATTGATTTAAAAAAAAAAGAAAAACAAAAAAGTGTGATAGAATTTATATCCTTCCCGTTTAAACTGTAAATATCTATTAGTTTGCTATTTCATTTTCTGAATTGTGTGCGTGCATGTGTGTGTGTGTGAATGTTTGTTTCAAACTAAAATTAAGGGGACAAAATTAAGCAACTACTGAAGTCTCAGAACAAAGAAAAAAAAAGACCATTCAATAGTGATTTTTTACAGCATTATTATTAGGATCCATCTTCTCACACACATCACAGCCAGTCTGTGAAATCGAATCGCCCCCTACACAAATCACAACCAACTGTGATCGTGCAGCACACACAAACTCACATGCACACTCACACACAGCCATCTGTTCTGAATCAGCCAAAACGACAGCTGTTTAAGAGAACAATGCCTTCGTTCAGGAAGCAGGAGAAGCCGAGCTTTACATCAAGGCCAAACAGCAATGTAAAAACCTGGTTCCTTGAAATTCATACACTTTAAACCTATTCACAAATATTAAAACACACACATACACACATAAAGGTGGAGGTTTAGCATGAAATTTTTAGCTGCCGCTAAACCACTACATGTAAAATGTAAGGTCAACCTTGAACATAATTACACAAAATGATTAGCTGGTAATTAAAGTTAAAAAGGAGGGTGAGGGTGGCAATGGGCAAAAAAAACAAAAGAGAGCGAGAGAGAGAGATCACTTCAAGTACAAGCAAACCTGTCTCACTGTAACCTTGACCTGAACTTGACTGTATGTGGAGCACAGAGTAAGTATTGCCAGTGAGTAGGCGTATGCCCTACAGCAAATTTGAGGGAGATGTGTGTACATGTTTCTGTTTATGTGTGTTTGTTCAAAATTCATTTTCCGACACCAAACACAGAATTAGCACTGCTTGACAACACAACAATCGGTCATAAGCCCCAAGGTAACCTGAGAGGGGTGGAGAAAGACTAGAAGAAAGCAGAGGCAGGGGCTAACAAGACAGAGACCCGACAATCTGCGACACACACACACACACACTTCAACACATCGAGTGTTGGTGCATGTCCTGGCTGTATTCCAGGTTCCCAAGCCCCCAGTGTACCTAGAGTCTGTGTGATCTGGCTGGGAACAATATTGAGATTTCATCCCTGGACCTTCTGAAGCTAGCGCTCCGGTCCAGGCCTACTCACACCACACAGGTGCTGTTTTAATTAGAAAACAGGATGCTTGGATCCAAGAGTGGTAGGGTGGGGGCAAAATGAGAATGACCTCCCAAAGATTTGGCATCAGATTGGAAGAAGAGCTTGATCTAATTTACACTCGGACATCCAGGGAGACGACCAGCAGAGAATGCTGTTTTCTAAGGCAGTGGAGAGCGTAACCTTGCAAACTTAAAGGGCCGTCTGGGTCTGGACTATTAGAGCACATACTGTCTTCAAACATATCGGAGTAAGTAAAAAACGTAATACATATCACAGCGACAAATCTAATACTCAAGCCCTTTCATCAAGGGAACACGATGAATGTTAACTAAGTTATGCAAATATGACTCAACCATTTGTGATTATATTGTTTGAATGATTGCAAGAACTAAGACCACGTTTTAATTAAAATAAAGCAGCTACTGTCAACCATAAGTCAAATGTATTGAATATTTATTTACATACTACATTTAAAAGTTTCTTATTTCTTATTATTATCAATGCTAAAAACAGTTGTGCTGCTTAATATTTGTGTAGATATTGTGATACTTTTAAGGATTCAGCATTAAAAATAAGAACAGAAAACATTCTCAGCCTTCAGTTGTCACGTCTTTTTGCTGTGGGTTTATTTCTATACATGGACAATGTGTACGTGTGAACCAAGTTAACACCCCCCAAGGCAGCTGCTGCCATTTGTTCTTGTTTGCAATAGGCCTCACTTATACAGACAGCCGCTGAAGTCGGCAGCCCGGTCCAATACTTCTGGGTGTGCAGATGAGCTGAAGAGAGCGAAAGAGTAAGTAGTTGGTAATTAAAGCTTCTATATATAGCCCCTAAAGCCCACATTTATAATGGGAGGTATCTCTCTCTAATATGCCACTATCTGCAATGTGATATCATTAAGAGGAAAATGGTTTGTAGCCTTAAGCAGACAGGCTGTCTGTGTGTGGCTGGAGAATATGAGATAGCACCAATCCACTTCTCTTCTCCTCTTTCCTCTCGTCCTATGCCCTCACTACTTTCCTCACCTCCCCTCCATCTCTCCTCGGCTATCAAGACCCGCGTTAATGAAGTTAATTGAATTTGAGATCAATAATGCTTAATTATTGCAATTTGACATGCACAGACAAATTGGTGGGGAGGCCAGATGAGTGTGTATGCATGTGTACGTTAGATGTGTCCGTGTGTGTGTGTGTGTCCAGCACCGGGGTGGGCGAGGGGGCACGGCTGGACATCAGAGGAAGAGAGAGAAGGATGGACGAAGCAGACACTCGTGCCATCGATTCCAGAGAGACGCCCCATCGACCAGGCCTACTGACTGATGGAGGCCCTGCTCCAAGGCTAGCTGGAGAGAAAGAGAGAGCTCACTGAGACCACTTTCGCCAGCCTGGCCTGCCCTGCCTACAAACGGCACATTGAGATGGATTGGATGGACAGAGGAGTGTAACACAGAGAGAAAACAAGAAAGAAAATGACAGATGCAGATAAGAGGTCTCTACCTATGGAATCATTTGTGTTTTGTTTATAGAATGCGTGGCTGTTACCAAGTGATGGTTACCATGGCTATAACTGTAACACGTTTTGTTTCCCTGCATTGTCTCTGCAACCAGATGAAGACCAGAGGTATTTTCATTTTTGAAAACATTAAAGGAATATTCTGGGTTGTTTACAACTTAAATGTTTATGGACAGCATCTGTGGCATCTGTGACTTTAATAGCAAAGTTGATAGCTGCATATTTTAAACGTTTATTTGTGATGCTGCACACTTGCCTGCTAGGCTTATACTGCCACTGCATTACCATAACATGTTGCGTTCATGGAAATTATTGTTACAGCATGCCACAGATTTAGTATACAAACATTTAAATTATAAATAACATTCTTAAAATATTACTAAATTCCTAAAATATTAAATTAATGTGAATTGCCATTTGCAACCAATTTTACATCCATGTTTCCTGAAAAAAAAAAAGTTGTGACTCGATTTTATCTAGCAGTAACTGATTGGATTGTGAAAAGCATGTTAAATACTGTAATGTAGCCAGACTGAATGAGAGTTTGATAAATATAAATGATTTCAGCGAAAAGAGAAAGTTGTTTCCAAAAAAAGAGCTAAGATATTAAAAATTACCAATACTTTTTTTTTTTTTTTTATAACATGTACCATGAATCATTCCCAATAAGACCAGGGACATAAAAAAAAGAAATTCTGGTCCATTTAAATTATTTCAGGTTCACTTTAAGAAAGAATCACACCTATTGTGCAATAAAAAACCTTGAGAAAAAAAAAAACTTAAAAAATAATCACAGGTATTTAAAATCTTTAAAAATGCTCTCATCTTTTGTTATAATAATGTGAAAATGTGAGCTGGTGGAAGAGTGTGAGAGAGAGAGAGAGAGAGAGAGAAAGAAAGAGCAAGCTGGTGTGGATTAAAGAAAAGAAACAGGGCTGGAGGTGCATCGGCGCTGGCAGAACTGAGAGAGAAAGCTGGTAAACACAGACGCTAGCACGGCTAATCGCCCGCTCATGCCACTCAGCGGGAGAGCCCCTGACAGTGTGTGTATGTGTGTGTATGTTTACACACCCCCGCTCTCCCCCCCTGCATGTGCACAGCAACCGGTAACCACGCTGGAGAACAGAACTTCCCCCTGCTGCCATAGCACCTCCACTGGAGTTAACACTCCTACACGACATCAAGATTCGACAGCCTCGAACACACACGTGAGCGCTCAGTCATACAAATGATCCTGTGTGCAACACAATAACGTACAAACAAAAAGTTGATTTATATTCAAAAGCAGGCTCGGTGCTGATGC